ATGTCATATATAATTTGGTTCGTGCGCAACGATTTCACTGGATCGCCGCCGCGGTTCTGAGGATGAGGCACAATCTGAAACGGCGCCACGACCTTCTTCGACTCAACCCTGAATCGAGCTCGGTACGCGATGTTTCTTTTGATGATTTTGGTGCGGTCGTCTGCCATGGCAGCTGGCCAAAGCGACCCCCGCTGCCGCGGGTCCCCCCCCCAACCCGCCACCAAATCAGCAGACGCCGTTACCATGGATATGCGATCTCCGATCCTGCTCGGACCGACAAAAACGGCGATGATGTAATAGGGTGACGATTGCGTCGACGGTATAATGAGCCCCTGACAATGATTTCGCTTGGTCTTCTCAACCTCTGAAGAGGAGAGAGATGAGGGAGACGGTAATGGCACGAGAGGGGAGGGGAGGCAGGCAAGACGTCGGGGGGGACGAACATGGAGCGAGAGGAGAAGAATGATGAGCGAATAAGAAAGGAGGAAGAGGATGTGAGGAGGACGAGGATGGACGACGAGGACAAGAAGAGGAGGGGAGGAACGGTGGACGAGGAGATATGACTAGGAAAAAGACGAGGACTAGGAGAGGAGGCGGGAAGAGGAGGACGACGAGAAGAGGACGGGAAGACGAGGACTGGAGAGCGAAGGCGAGGAAAGCAGGAGCACAAGGTCGTCGACGCCCCAGACCTCAGAACGACAACCATGGGCAGGGCATGTGATGTCAAAACTGCTTGTTGTGGTTCCGTTAGAAAAGGGGGTCGTTCACTTTATTTGCGAAAGCAGATTAATCATCGCGAAGCCGAAGCAGACGGGGTCGACCATGAATTCGCGTCCAGGTCGAACGAACGATCCCCGCCCAGAGCACTGCAAACTTACCATTCAATCCGGAGCGGCTCTCTGTCGCATTGAAATCAAACGAGATCCCCTTGATGGCGGAGCTCTGACTGAAGTCTGCGAGCGGGCGGGCGCTCGTGCCCCAGCCGACGCCGCCGAAGCCCTGGCGGGCCGCGCTGTCGAGGATCCCGCGCGTGCCGCAGTAGAGCTCCTGCGCGGGCCACGGCGTCGGCCACTGGCGGGCGCGCCCTGTCTGGGCTCTGAGTACGCATCCACCTGTTGCGCGATCCACCCAGCCGCGCGAGTAACCGCGGCCTGCTGGGCTGCCGACAGCTTGGCCCGCTCATGCTGGATCACGCCGGAAATCTCGCGGCGCTTCACTGTCACGCCCGAACTCCACCTTCCTCTCCGCTTGACGTCCTGCAGGGCGCGATGCCCCATGAGGACGTCGTGGGGCGGCCCCGCGTGCCTGAGCTGGTAGAGGCGGTGCCTCTGCTCGGCGGCCAGGCCTAGCTGCTCCTGCGCGAGGCCCCATTGCTGACTTAGCTCCCGCCCGCTGACGGCGAAGGGCTTTCCGAGTGGTCGACCGCGAAGGCGACGATGGAGCGCGGGCCCCAGGCCGCAGAGGTAGGGGGAGTCGAGGTGCATCGCCTCGTCGGAAACCCCGACATTGGACGTCTCTCCTCGGCGGGCTGGGCGCGCATTGAGAACCCAATGCGCGCTCGAGGCCCCTGGAGGCACCAGATCCCCCTCTCTGTGGCTGCGAACATCCACGGGTCTGAAGTAGCAGACGAACATCGCCAGGTTGCAGAATGAGATAGCCCAGTCCTGGAGGCGGCGGAACAGATGCCAGACAACCCAGCAGACTACCTTGACCGGGATAAGGAGAACTGTCTGCGCTGGCGTGAGCAGCCCGAGCCCCCGCGCCGCTCGCGAGAAGCGCGGGGATCGCAACTCCCCGATGGGCGACAGTCCGCATAGGTGCAAGGCGGCGGCCGCGCACATCTGCATGAGGCCTGGCCTTTCGAACCCTTCCAGAATCAAGTAGTCCGCGAAGTCCACCAGCGCACCAGCGCAGTGTCGGCATTCCGAACGCTGTCCATGGCGCAGCCGTTCATGTCTGAAAAATCGTGGAGCTCCGCCCACCAAGCTGTGTAAAGCGCCTCCGTAGGTGCCGTGGTCGAATGACGCTCGAGAGCGGCACGCTGGCCTGCCAGGGCCTGACCCACGAAGCCCCCGAAGATACTTTGGCGCCTGTCCCCGCGGATCTCCCGGCTCGACCCCGAGAGATGCTCCGACGCCCCCTGCCGCTGGAGCCGCAGGCCTGAGGGGCTGGCAGGGCTGGCAGAGCTGGTCGCCCCATGGAGCCTCTGGACCCTCGAGGTGACTCCCTGTCCGTGCCGCGCCACTGCCGTCAGCGGACCTCCCCGCCGAGCGGGTCGCGGGGGCCGCCCGGCCCTTCGGGGCCCCGACGTCTGGCGCCCATCTGCGAGATGACTCATCTGCTGTCTCATTAAGCTCAGACGGCACCCAGCGCGGTGAAACTCGTCAGCCTCTAGCCAATAGACAAGTAGCGATGCGCCTGGCGATGATTAACAAGCCGCAAGAAGATGCCCGAGAACGCCCAAGCGCCAACGCATTCCCGAGCTGACCCCCCGATAGTAACAGCCGATTCCCAAAAGACCGGGCGGGCCCCATGTAGCGCTGAACCCCCAAGAGAGACGCCCGAGCCCCCAAGATAGGCATAGCCCCCTCCCGCCGGAAACGCACGGCGAACACCTCACTCACTGGGGTCCACGAAGGCTGCAGGGGCCTCGTCGAACCCAGGGTTGCACTCTAACTCCTTCGCGGACCCCCCGAAGGCCCGACGCGTGACTGGCAACGCCGAATCAATATCTGAGAAAGGGCCCGCCCCTAGCGCACGCTGGCGAGGGCGGTGGTGAAGAGGGCGACGCGATCAATATCTCCAGCGCTCTCGGACTCGGCCAATGGAGGCAACTTCCCCCGGTGCAGCTCGGCGAGATGCCATGCCGGCGACAGACTCGCACGCGTCAGTCGACGCCGCTGTTCCGCGCCGCGGTCTGTCTTAACGGGCGATCCCCAAGAAAGTAAGAAAGCGTATCCAGCGATCCTCGTGGCCAGCAGAGGCCCGCAAACTTTGGGGCCCCCCCCCTGCTGCTTGCGCGAAATCGTAGACTGCCCGAAGGGCCGAGAGGACCTCGCGCCGAATTAGGAAGAAGTCAACCGCTTGCCCCAGAAACTGCTCCATCTGCGCGCTCGTGACGGGCTGGCCCCCCCCGCGGGCTTCGCAAACTTTGCGCGAACGTTCTCCCCGCTCAGGTCGGTTACGGACTATCCAAGACTCCCCGTCGATCACGCGTCAGAAGCTCTGGGTCGGTCTCCTCGCGGGCCGTGAACAGCGCGAAACGCAATATAGCGACAATCACATCCTTCGCCTCCTGAACCTCCTCCCTCCTGGTGCCCGCAACATTGATGTTGTCGCAGTAGAGTAGTACCGATAGCTCCTCACTGAAATTTGAGGCCGGGGCCCGATCCCTCAAGAACATGAAAGCCGGCCCAGCATCCCCAAGAGAGACCCGAAACTGGTGCCCCACTAGGCGCTGCATGAAGTAGAAATCCTAAGAGAAACCCACGGGTAGAGTGAGGAGCATGGGGTAGACCATCGCACCCCTGGCAAGGTCCCCGAGATTCTGAGTTCCTGATTCCAGCATCCACTCACTCCCCCCCTGAGATGGGCGGCAAGCAGAAGCGGGGGCACACCTGGGGCAGGTTCCTGACGCAGTGGAAACAGTCCTTGGCACAGGCCTGAGCCACCCAAAGCTTGCTTCCATCTGAGAGTACGTAGAACTCGCGCTGCGTCTTTAAAACCTCGTCGAAGCGCAGCCTAAACTGGCGGCCCGACTCCCGAAACAACACCGCGTCCGCGGGGTCAGCTAGCACATGAGTACCCCATGCTTTCAGCAAATCCTGGCCAAGTCCTGGACGAGCAGCCAATGCATCAGCCGAAGGCCTCCCCGGGCTTGGAAGAGAAACCTGACCCCGCCGAAAGAGGCGAATCGCAGTGCTGCAATCGCTTCCTGAGTAGTCAACGATGCCCGACAAGACGTCGCGAACGGCTGCGCGCCTGGCACGCAAAATCTGAAACGGCGAGGCGGATGCGACGTCGCGGCGCAACGCATCCTGAGAGAGCATCTGGCCGAGCGCGGGAACCGTCACTTACCTCAGCGCCGCCGTACATCTCTTTCAAGGCATTGATGACAGAGTTGGCGGCTCCGTCCAAAAACCTCCTTCGCGCCAATCGTTTTCACCGAACGAGAAGGGGGCCCCTCCGTGGCTGACTGCACAACATCTTCAGGGAGAAGAAAAAGGTCGCGTGGACGAGCTTTCTCGGAACAAATGTGGACCTCTCGGGCGATGCTCCGCCAGGAGGCCTGGCCACGTGCCTCCTGGGGGGAGGGGGCGCCTCACCCCGGCCCTTCCTGGTCCTTCTTGGGCTCGGTGTTCGTCTGCCGCCAAAGGCGGCGCTCCTCGCGGGCCTTCCGCTGCTCCTTCGCAACGTGGTGCTCGTCGCGGAGGGACCTTGACACATGCTGTTGGAGCGACGGCGCCACCGTCACTCCCTGACGACGGAGGCCCCGCCCCATATGATGATTCGACGCAGAGTAATCTGGAGCTGATGGATTCAAAGAGCGCGCATTCTCTATCAACTGTAACCTCCTGCAAACAAGCTTTGCTGAACGAAGCGTAGGAGCGCGCAGCTGATCAGTGCACACCATGCTCTCCAGTATTTCGGAGAGCACCTCGTGTTCGAACACGCTGCGGTCCCTGTTCGAGATCCCCGAAGTCGATCGTCACGACGCGTGCTGCGATGCAGGTGTGCGGGAGCGGTCCACGTAGGTCTGGCACCCCCTGGCGAGAGTCCCAGGGCCCTCTAGCCCTAGACCCCCCCCCTCCGCTTCATCTGGAACGAAGTTGGCCACCCCGTCGTAAAAGGGCCTCTTGCGCCGCCTCATTGCATCAAACTCCACAGGAAGAACTCTAAAATCGTCCACGCTGTACTCTCCAATCGCACTGTGGGAAATCATATGTATGAAGACCGTTCCCCCCCCCCACACACAGCACAGCACAGCACAGCACATCATCTGTATGAAGACCGCTCCCCCACACTCAGCCCGCTCTCCCAGCACAGCCGCTCCTACACGTAGCTCCTCAATGATCTCCCCCGTCTGGTGGCTCCCGTAGTCCTCCGCGTAAACCCAAGCACGTCCAGCGTCAGCTCTGCGAGCTCCCACGCCAGCGGGCCGGCCTAGCCCTGGAAGCTGGGCGTTCCTCAGCGGCTGCGCCTGCGGCCCAGGCGGCGGCGCAAGAGGTGCACCAAGCATGCCTTGCGCCTCCCCGGAGAGCCTGTTGCGCTCCTGCGACGGCACGTGCTGGCGGAAGCGGTAGATCATGTTTTCGGGAACATGGGCGGGATGTCCTCCTTGCATCCCGATCCAGTAGACGGCCTCGACGTCGTCTCCAGGAGCTAGATTGAACTGATAATGGTCGCCGTCGGCGGTGAGCAGAATCACCTCTGCAGGATCCCCAGCACTGATTCCAGTAATCATCACCTCGCGACAAAGACCCCCCCCAACTCCAGCGCAGTTCATCGGGATCAACTCGCCACGGGGCGCCATCGCTGAGCACTCCCAATAGACTGGGCCTCGATCCTGGCGCCCCGGCGGGCCCTCGCCGCGGCCCCCTGCGCCGCGGCGAGCCGCTTCCTGCCTCCCGAGGGCGCCTCTTCACGCGGGGATGCCGCTTGGGGCCCCCACGCCGCGGCCCGCCGACCTGCCCGGGCGCGCCCCGCGGGCCGCTCCCGCGGGCAGCGGCAGCAGCGCGGGCGCGGCCCCGGCGAGGGAGGCGGCGCCCCCCTCCTGCAAGGGGTGCTGCACCTCCACGGCGGGGCAGACCGCCTCGGGGCACTCGGGCCGCGGGAAGACCAGCTCGGGCGCCTGGCGGACCACCTCCCGGGCAGTCCTGAGGCGCGACGGGAGGCGGGCCCCCCCCCTCCGCCCTGGGGGGCGGGAGCGGCGCCCTGCGTGGGGAGCCCCCGCCAGAACAGCGCCGCCCAGCCAGGAAGCCCCGCGATGGCGGCCGCTGTGAGCGCGGCGAGCTGGCTGGGCCCTGTCATTCACCCAAGAGAAACCAGAGCTAAATGCTACGGTAGAGCGTTTGGTCTGATCAGAGCGGCGTTTCAACAGGAGGCATTCACGCTTGGCTGGTCATACACACACATACATACATACATACATACATACATACATACATACATACATACATACATACATACATACATACATACATACATACATACATGCATACAAATACCGACAGACACACAGGCAGACAGACAGGCATGCATACATACATACATACAGGCATGCATACATACATACAGGCATGCATGCATGCATACAAACAAACATACACACATACATACATGCATACACACGTACATACATACATACATACATACATACATACATACATACATACATACATACATACATACATACATACAAACATACATACATACATACATACTTACTTACATGCATGCATGCATGCATGCATGCATACATTACTTACATACATACATACATACATACATACAGACAGACAGACAGACAGACAGACAGACAGACAGACAGACACAGACAGACAGACAGACATACATACCTACATACATACATACAAACATGAATACACACATGCACAAATACATACATGCATACATGCATGCATACATACCTACCTACCTACCTAACTACAAACCTACCTACCTACCTACCTACATACCCGACATGCCTACATGCCTACATACCTACATACCTACATACCTACATACCTACATACCTACATGCCCATATACCTACATACATACATACATACATACATGCATGCATGCATGCATGCATGCATGCATGCATGCATGCATGCATACATATATATATATATATATATATATATATATATACGCACACACACACATCGCGTCCCCCCCGTGCCGCCGCCGGCAGCGCCGGCCGCGCGCCCCCGCGTGCCGCCGCGGCGACACTGACGACCACAACGACGACAACGCTGACTCGCGCGAAAGGGTTTTGCCTGTTGGGGGCCTCTGTGGGCATCCTCGCGGGGTCTCTTGGGAGCGTTTGGGGACTGGTTTGGGAACGTTGGTGGCCTGCTGGGGGCCTCTCTGGGGCCTCTTGGGGGCCTGCGGGCCCTCTTGCGCTATCTTGGGGCCCTCTTGACGGCCTCGTTTTCCGTCTTGGGGCGATCTTGGAGAACTCTTTGTCCGTCATGGACGCTGCGAAACCCTCAGGAGGATTTTTAGAGGTCCTTCTGGAAAGCTCTTGAGACGGCTTTGGAGCCTTCTCGGGACGTCTGGGGGGCTGCTGGAGCCGCCTTGTTGCAATATGTTTTGGTTTTTCGAACGTCTCAAAAGTCCGCAAACGGGCTTGGATGACTTTTGGGGCGGTCTCGAACCAGTCCCGGAGGCGTCTTGAGCCGGATGGGAACCACCAGGGCCGCCCGGAGCCGCTCCGAACCCCAACGCGAACAGGGTGTCCCGGACTGGCCACTCCCCCCAACCGACTCCGATACACACAGATTCATGTATACATGTTTATAATCATACACACATGTAACATACATACATACATGCATGCATATATGCATACATGCAAACATGCGTACAGACATACATGCATAAATGCATGCATGCGTACATACGTCCATGTATGGATGCATCCATACATACATTCATACATATTACCCTACCGATATACTTACCTACATGCATGATTGCGTGTATGTATACATACACACATGCATCCATACATGCACGCGTACATTCATACATGCAAACTAGAACCATCGCGCGCGCTTCGCGCGCGCTCAAGTTCTAGCTAGGTTCGACAGGCTAACGCATGGAATCTCAACTGTTGAAGCGCCTTGTGCATCTAACGACCTTCTTGGAGTCCCTGCGCAAGCCTCGGAAGCGTATAGAAGGGGAATTGCGGAAACCACAACATCAACTTCCTTTAGGTGCTCGATGATTTGGGCCCCTCGAAGGCTTCCTGGGATCTTTCTTCGGTGGTGACGGGGGCCTTAATGATGGTCTGATGTGCAACAATTAGCAGGGGCACATTGAAATTAGCCTGGCGAAGGACCTAACCATATGCAGTTGTGAATACCGCAGTTGTAAGCATCGTCTTCGGGGAGCGACGCATGCGGACTGCGCCACTGGAACGTTCGGTGGAGCCCCCCTTGTAGGGCCACGAAACAATGTACTGGGTGTGGGGGAGACGCATGCGCCACTGGAACCTTCGGTGGAGCTCCCTATGGGGCCACGAAGCGCTGCACTGGTGGGGGAGACGCATGCGGGCTCCGCCACTGGACCTTCGTCGGAGCTCCCTATAAGGCCACAAAGCGAAGTACTCGGTGGGTGAGACGCATGCGGGCTGCGCAATTGAGACCTTCGGTGGAGCTCCCTATGGGGCCACGAAAGGCTGTATTGGGTGGGAGGGACTCATGCGGGGTGCGCCAGTGGAACCTTCGGTGGAGCTCCCTATGGGGCCACGATCGGTGTACTTGGTGTGGGAGACGCATGCGGGGTGCGCCACTGGGGCCTTCGGTGGAGCTCCCCATGGGGCCACAAAGCGCTGTACCTGGTGTGGCGGACGCATGCGGGCTGCGCCACTGGGACCTTCGGAGGAGCTCCATAGGGCCCTTTCGGGCCGTCCTGTGCGCCTCTGGCGCCGTCTTGGGGCCCCCTTGGGCCGTCTTGGGGCCGTCTTTTTGGCGATCCTGGGGCCGTCTTCGGGCGATCTTAGGGGGCCCCTGGCGCCTCGGCAAAACCCCCGGAACTTCCCAGTCCCCCAGATGGGGACACATGTTTGGGGACCGCGGGCCTGTGCATATATATATATATATATATATATATATATATATATATAATCACACGCACCTCTCCGAGGGAGTAGAGCTCAGAGCCGATTAGTGCGTACGCGGGGCGCCGCGTCCGCGATTTGTCTGGCCGTTTTGCTAGGGACATCCTCGAAATTCTGAAAATCGGTGTCACCCCTAACGCAGATCGTGACGTCAGGGTCAAAAAACACATGGGGAATTTCAACATTCTAACATAAAACCTCCAAAAAGCACATTGTAATTTCAATGATTTTAACCCCGATTCACAAAGAATGGCGATTTCGCCTAAGACATCCTCCCAAAATCGAGCCCCGACGTACCTTCTGGTACCCCAGACCCCGCCTCGGAGCCTCTTGGGAACCTCCTGGAACCTCCTGGGGCCTCCTGGGGCTTTCTGTACCTTCTGGTACCCCAGACCCCGCATCGGAGCCTCCTGGGGGTCTCCTGGAACCTCCTGGGGCCTCCTGCGGCCTCCTGGAGCCTCTTGGGGCCTCCTGGAGCCTCCTGGGGTCTTCTGGAGCCTCCTGGGGTCTTCTGGGGCCTCCTGAGGCCGCCTGGGGCCTCCTGGGGCCTCGGAACTACATGCACACACAAAGACACAAAATCACACCCAACACATCACACGCTAGACAAACATAACACACACACACACACACACACACACACACACACACACACACACACACACAACACCTACAACGCACAGGAAACACGCACAACACAGAGCACACATCACACACACACACACAACACTCACAATCCCGGGGCCTCCTGGAGCCTTTTCCAGTATCCAAGTCGGGCCTCCTGACGTTTCCCGGGGGCCCCTGGTGCACACATCGCAAGGTGTGGCAACCCCACTTGCGCTCGATTGCGACCTCGATATTAGATTCTGTTGCGTTCACCTCCTGCCTCTTCCCCTTTTCTTAGGCACGCCCTGGCGGCGCCGCCCCAGCGCCGCCCCAGCTTCCCTTTCTCCACCTCCGATCCTGCAGTCATGGTGTTTTCCGGCTTCAAACGCCCTTTCAGTTTGTTGTATGAACCTGGGCACACATGCGCCACTTGTGTATATATACATATACATATACATATACATATACATATACATATACATATATATATATATACGCATGTATATGTATATATATAAAAATGTGTGTACACACAAATGTCTAGATGCATGTATAGTCGCACACACACATCCATACACACATACATACATACGTGCATACATACATACATACATACACACAAACATGCAAACAAACAGACAACCATACATGCGTACGTACATACAAGCATACGTACACACATACATTCATGCACGCATACACACATACATACACATACATACCTATAGTTATGCATATATGCATGCACCTATATAGGAGTGTATACTGTATACATGTATATATGTATATTTATATATAGCATGATGCCAGAAAAGTGGCGCGCGGGGGCCAGGTAAGCGTCACGGCCCGCAGGGCCTGGCGTGGCACTGCGCGAGACTTTCCTCTCCCGCGCACCCCTGGCCTTGGCGGCGGCCTTCGCTCCTCCAAGATTGCGCCCTCGCGCCCTGGCCGCCCGCTTGGCGACAGAGCCGACGACTGTTGCGGACGGGCGGGCTGGATCTGCGACGCTCGCCTGGGCCGCCTCCTGCGCCGCCGCAGCGAGATCGGGGGCGGCCTCCGCGAGAAAGGCGAGTGCGCTGGCTCGGGGAAGCGGCCGCCATGGCGTCGATGGCAGCTGCTCGCTTGCGACCGAAGCCTACCTCTGACCGACGTCTTGGCCGAGGCTCCCTCGAAATTCCGTTGTCGGTCTCTCGGCCCTCCTCGCTGCTGCGGTCTTTCAAATTGAGCGCTCGTGTTTCTGGAGCACGCGCCTGCGCCGGCGCCTGCCAAGCTCGCCCCGCTCGCGCTGCTCCAGCCACGCGCGCGGGAAC